TGGTCCCTCAATCCTTCGTTTGTTGCTGAATTTTGTCATTCTTTGTCGTACGAATTCAAGTTCTTTGCGTGCGTTTTCCTGGATATCCTTGATTTAGCGTATTGAGGCGACAGCTTTTACTGCAGCTAGGCCTGTTTAGGGTTCTCCATAGGCGGTTGGTTCGAATCTATAGTTGAGGTAGAAGGGGGATTCCTTAGTACTTTCTCCTACTGCGCTGTTATAGGCGAACTAGGCTATTAGTAGCAGTACAACCTAATTGTCTTAGTTGTAGTTGATATAGGCGTGGAGGTATGTTTCGAGGATTTAGTTGATTCGTTCTGTTTGTCTATCGGTCTGCGGGTGGAATGCAGTAGATATTAATTGTTTGATGCTAAGTTGTGATGTGATTAACTTCTAAAATTTAGAAGTGAAGATCTTATCTCTGTCTGATATAATTTCTTTAGGCGTTCTATGGTTGGCGATGATGTATTTAAGAAATATGTAGGCATATTCTTCGGCGTTACTTGCTTCTTTGTATGGGATGAAGTAGGCGTATTTCGTAAGTCGGTCCATAATGATAAGAATGCTGTCAAAGTGTGTTCCCGTAAGGGGTTCTTGAGACTTCGGTAATTTGACGATGAAGTCGAGGGATATGGATTGCCAGGCGGTTTGCGGCATAGGCAAGGGTTGTAGCATACCATAAGGTTGATGTCGAGCGGGTTTGCTTTTGAGGCAGACCTCACAATCCTTAATTGCTTTTGCCACTTATTCTCTGGTGACTTTTTCTCTATATTGTTGTCGGAGTTGTTTCTAGGTTTTTATGATTCCTTAGTGACCATATGCAGGGCGAGCGTGAAACTCCATAATTGCTTCGTCGTCTAGTTCGCTAGGCGGGCTAGTACTAGATCGTCCGGCCATTATTAAGAGTTTGGTTGCTGGCACTAGGTCTCCGTCGTTGTTTCCTTTGAGAATCACCTGGGTTTCTTCAGGTACTGGAACGTTATAGTCTGGTCGTCGGCTAAGAGCGTCAGCTCTGCTATTGTCTGATCCTTTGCGGTGGATGATTTGGAAGTTGAATTCTGATAGGAATTCTAACTATCTAATCTGTCGTTTATTCAACACTTTTGAAGTTGTGAAGTGTGAAAGGTTCTTATGGTCTGAATACATAAGTACTTCATGTGTGGTTCCTGAGAGCTTAGGTCTCTATTCCTTGAAGGCTTCGATAATTGCTATAAGTTCCTTATTGTGAACCTGATAGTTGAGTTCAGGTCCGTGGAGCTTGCGAGAAAAGAAGGCACACAGGTGTAGTCGTCCTTCTGAATCTTATTGAGATAATTATGCTCCTATCGCATAGTCGGATGCGTTAGGTTCTACTTTGAACTGTTTTGTTAGGTCTGGAATGCTCAAGATAGGCTTGCTGGCGATAAGGTCCTTGATCTTCTGGAATGCTGTTTGTTATGGTTCTTCCCATATAAAGGGCGTGTCTTTGCGGCTGAGGCTTGTGAGAGCTGCGTTGATCTTGCCATAGTCCTTGATGAATTTGCGGTAGAAGTTGACGAAACCTAGAAATCCTTAGACTTCCTTGAGGTTGTTAGGTACCAGCCATTCCTTGATAGCTTTGACTTTGTTTTCTGACATACAGACTTTTCCAGGGGTGATAGTGAATCCAAGGTATTCCACCTTCTGTGTGTGGAATTCGCTTTTCTCAGGTTCAACTAATAGCTTGGCTTCTTGGAGGGCTTGTAAGACGTGGTGTACGTCTTCCTTATGTTTCTCAGGTGTCGATGAGAAGATGAGGATGTCGTCGAGATAGACTACTACGCAGATGTCGACGTATTTGCGTAAGACTTAGTTGATCATATTTTGGAATGTTGCAGGGGCGTTAGTGAGGCCGAAGGGCATGACGAGGTACTCGAAATATCCTTTTTGGGTTTGGAAAGCGGTTTTCTATTCTTCTCCTTGCTTCATTCTGATCAGGTTATAGGCTCCTTTGAGGTCGAGGGCTGTAAACTAGTTAGCTCTATGGAGGAGTCGTCTCATCTTGTCGATAAGTGGTAGTGGGTAGCGGTTCTTAATCGTCATTTCGTTTAGCATGCGGTAGTCGACGTATAATCGCAGTTTTCCGTTCTTTTTGGGTATAAACAGGATTAGGCTTCCTGCTGGTGACGTTGAGGGTCTGATATATCCCTTCTTGAGATTTTCTTCAAGGTACTTATCTAGGGCTTCTATCTCTGTCTGGTTGAGTCCGTAGATTTTGTTGAAGCGTGGTTCCTTCCCTTTTTTGAGGGGTATTTCGTAGTCGAAACTGGTGTGTTCGGGCAGTCTGGTTTCTAATTCGGCTGCAAAGAGTTTCTCGTAAACTCTGTATTCTTCTAGGATAGACAGAAGTAGATCGTTCTTCTGTTCCAGATCTATCGTTATCAGTGGTTGTGATACAGCTTCTTTTGCCTTGAGGTAACAGAGGTATCGTTTTGCTGTTCCTTGTCGTATTGATTCGTTTGAGGCCTGATTCTTACAGGGCTGCTCAGGGACTAAATCATCATGGTCCCAATGGAGTTGGCCTTTGCTCCAATCTATCCGTGGGTTGCTTGTTTGTAGCCAGGGTAGTCCTAGCACTATGTTGTATGTTCCTAGATCGGCAATATCGAATTGGATTCTTTCTTTTTGATTCAGGTAGCTTATCTCGAGGGGCGCAGTCTCATTATAGATGGTACCTCCTTCGTACTTGAATTCTTCTCCTTCTGCTGTGTGTAACTGATATGGTCGTTCTTTTCCTCCCTATCGTATTTCTAGCCTATTGATGGCTTGGGGGGCAATGAAGTTTGCTTCGGCTCCGCTGTCGATCAGCGCAAGTGTTGTCTGCTGGTTGATAGTAACTTTGAGTTTGATATTACCCTTATGTCCTTGTGATATTTGCTGAATAGATCTTATGTTTGTTGCCTATTATGATCTGTCGTCAGTAGGTAAGTCTAGTTTTTTGACTGCTCTGGTTGTCCTAGGTAGGTGATCTGCTTTCCTTCTCGTCATGCTTTTGTGAGGCTGTTCTCGCGGATTCTGACCTGTGGGGGTCTAGGTCCATCCTTTATGATTCTCTAGGTTTATGCCTTTTCTTAGTAGTAAACTTAGTATTCGTCTTATTAGCATTCGTCCTATTTCATGCTGTCGTTATATTAACATCTCATAGGGAACTGAGGACTAGGTCTAAAGACTGCGAGGTTATCTTCAAACAGTACTATAGTCCATCTGATTATAACAGAGGTTGAGTAGATCTCATGGATAGGTTTGTCGTTATGTCTTCTGGGGTAGAACTAGTAATCATGCTTTTCTCCTATATATTCCTTACACTTATCATAGAAGCATTAGGGCCAGAAGAGGGTTCAGTGAAGCCAGTAGTTGCTTCTCAGCGCGGGATGATCTTTCGTGTGTAGCTGAGGGGTGTAGCCTCAGTCTTATTAGGCTGCTGAGGTGCTATAGAAGTGGCGTTATTGCTTATCTTGAAGTATGTCGATTTCTTAGTATCTTAGGAGTTGCTTGATTCTTCCTTCCTGGTCGTTAGGTTCCTCTTCAGAGCTGGAGTCGTCCACACTGGGGGTGAACCTATAGGCGTTTTCTGTCTGAGTGTGTTGTCGGGCAACGTTGCGAGGCTCATCTGAGTCATAGGAAGAGCTTTCTCCTTCTCCGAAAGTCTAGTTGTTGGTCATACTGAGGAGTTGTTGTTCCATCAGAGGATCGTGTTGGTGTTCTGGTTCTTCTTCTGATTCTTGTTGTTGATATAGTCGTACTTATCTGTCGTCTTCTTGCTGGATTAGCTCTATTTCCTTCTGGATTTGTTGTTCTTCGTGGTGGAGTTGTTAGCTAGTTATGCGGGGGGTGATTAGTTCTAATCGCTGAATTCGTAGCATCTCGTTAAGTTGTTCAACTGGTTTTCTAGCCACTTTGCTGTTGCTGGAATGCATTATTGCCAGGGTCCTAGGGCGAGTGTCTAGGGTGGTCATATTATAACCAGACCGTCTAGGGTTGCTATCCCTTAGGTAGTGTCCTGATATTTCTTTGTCTTTAAGGTGAATTTAGCAGTTGTCGTCGTAGCATCCAGTCCATAACTGGGATGCATGTGGGGCTTTTGCAATTATGTTGACTTATTGAGGTTGTTCTGCCACTGGTCTCCAGGGGAGCTTCTTAGGCTGTCTGCAGTCTTTAGCGATATAGCCTTGCTTATTGCAGTTATAGCACTTAGGGTTCTAAGGTTTTTTGTTGTTAGGTTTAGTCATCATGCTGAGATCTATAGGTCTGCTGTGTTGTCTATAGGCAGTGCTCTGGCGGGTGTTATTCCAGTTGTTGCGGGGTCTGTTGTTATTCTGCTGGCTGTTGAACTTCTGTTGAGGCTGCTATTAGTATTTGCGTCCTGAATTTAGGTTTTATTATTTCTCTCCTCGTTCCTTTTGTTGTTTATAGAGGTGGTTGTTAACCTTAATAGTATGTTCAACGTAGGCGAGGAAACTAGGAGGTGTCTCCAGTTTGGCTATTTTGTCTTTGACCTCGTCCTTAAGTCCTTGATAAAAGGCAAAAACTTTGCTTTCGTCGGTTATATGGAGTCTTGCAGCTAATCGTCTAAACTCTGCGGCGTAGAGCGTAGCTGACTTGGTTTGTCGTAGGTAGGATAGGTCTCGCTCAGCCTGTCTTCGTTCATCGGGGTCAAGGAAGAGAGATTCTAGGGCCTTAACATAGCCTGTGAAGCTGAAGAAGATGTCCTTAACTTCTTAGCTGTATTTTTCGACAGGGTTGTCAAGCTATTCCTGTTGAAGGGGTTCAAACCAGGCAAGGGCTTATCCCTGAAGGAAGGTGGCTGCGTATATAACGCGTTCGGTGTCGTTCTGGAAGGTGTTTATATGGAAGGCCTGGTAGGTTCAAACTTATACCAGGTGTCCTTTAAGTTGTCCTAGGGTCCTGTCGAAAGTGGAAGGCATGTTAAGCTTAAGGCGTTCTCATCCTTCAACTAGGGCGGATATGACGTTAGCGGCAGCTCAGAGGGTGGCGACTTCTTTCTCTAGATCCTGGTTCTTGCAGGCTTGTTCCTGGAGTTTGCTGAGGGCTGCTGCGTTCTGGTTGAACATTTCGCGCATTGCCTTGAAGTCGCTATTAGTCTTGTTAAGCTGGCGCTTAAGTTCTTCAGTGTCGTCCTCGCTGTCTGAGTCGTCCTTTATCTTCTGGTCTCCTAGTTCCTGGGCTAGGTTTTGGGTGGCTCGTCCTCCTGAAGTGGACGAGGATCCCAGGGTAGGCGACTTAACAGAGGCGTGGGAAGACATTATCGTTTGTTACTGTTAGTAGGAATCAATAGTCAACTTACTAAACAGGAGCAATCAAAGTGTTACGGTCAGCTATCTGACAGTAGGGTCTGCTAACAGAAGCTGGGGATTAATACGTTCTAACAGTACACTAGGTTGTGGTCGTTGGTTGTAGTTCGTAGGCTTGTAGTAGATCAGGTCTTCAGAGGCTAAGGTGATCAGTCTTAGACTCAACAAGTGATTCGCAGTGAAGGTAAGCTGAGAGTATCCGTGAGGATGAATACTAAGTTGATTGCTGAAGAGCTATAGAAGTCTGACCATAAGCTGGGCTCAGGGTCATACTATATATAAGTTCTAAACAGTACCCTTTACTCTATCACTAATCCCTCACCAGGTACCAGTGAGCGCTTATTGACTGTTGGTGAGCGCTCAGTAACTTCGACTGAGCGCTCAGTGATCCACACTGCCTGCTCAGTCTTATCTTATCATCACGTGACTTGTATCATAGTTCTCCCGTCTCCGAGTGAGTCCCTGTTGTTCCCGTGATCCTGCAGTACAAATGTCCTGTCCTAGCCGCCCGACGCCCGAGTGGGTCGTTCAGCTGTTATCCTTGTTTACGGGTCGTAACATATAGTCCATCTGATCATAGCGGATGTTAAGTAAATCTCGCGGATAAGCTTGTCGTTATATCTTCTAGGGTAGAATTAGTAGTTATGCTTTTCTCCTATATGTTCTTTGCATTTGTTGTAGAAACACTGAGACCAGAAGAGGGTTTAGTGAAGTTGGTGGTTGCTTCTTAGTGTGGGATGGTCTTCTGTGCGTAGCTGAGGGGTGTAATCCTGGTCTCATTAGGTTGCTGAGGTGCTGTAAAAGTGGCGTTATTGCTTATCTTGAAGCATATTGATTTCCTAGTACTTCAGGAGTTGCTTAATTCTGTCTTCCTAGTTGTCTGGTTCTTCTTCAGAGCTAGAGTCGTCCACACTGGGGGTGAACCTATAGGTGATCTCTGTCTGAGCACGTTATTAGGCAATATCGCGAGGTTCGTCTGAGTCATAGGGTGAACTTTCGCCTTCTCTAAAAGTCCAGTTGCTAGTCATACTGAGAAGTTGTTGTTCTGTCAGAGGATCATGCTGATGTTCTAGTTCTTCCTCTGATTCTTATTAGCGTAGACGTATTTATCAGGTATCTTCATGTGAGGTGATTAGTTCTAGTCGCTGGATTTATAGCATCTCGTTAAGTTGTTCAACTGGCTTTCTGGCGACTCTGCTGTTGCTGGAATGCATTATTGCCAGGGTTCTGGGGCGAGTATCCAGGGCACTCATGTTGTATCCAGATCGTCCAGGGTTGCTGTCCCTTAGGTAGTGTCCTGATATTTCTTTATCTTTGAGGTGGATTCAGCAGTTATCGTCATAGCATCCAGTCTAAGATTGGGATGCATATGAGGCTTTTGCAATCGTGTTGACTTGTCGAGGTCGTTCAGCTACTGGTTTCCAGGGAAGTTTCTTAGGTTGTCTGCAGTCTTTAGCGATATAGCCTTGCTTGTTGCAGTTGTAGCACTTAGGGTTCTAAGGCTTCCTGTCGTTAGGTTTAGTTATCATGCTGAGATCTATAGGTCTGCTGTGTTATCTGTAAGCAGTGCTTTGTTGATTGTTGTTCTAGTTGCTGCAGGGTCTGTTGTCGTTCCGCTGGTTGTTAAACTTATGCTGGGGTTGCCACTGGTACTTACGTCCCATATTAGGTCCTTGTCGTTTTTCGCCCTTTTCTTTGCGTCGTTCGAATAGCCTGTTGTCGATCTTGATTGCAAGGTTGGCATACTGAAGGAAGTCTTTAGGGCGATCGATCTTAACGATTTCGTCCTTAACTTCATCTTTAAGTCCCTGATAGAACATAAAGATCTTGGTTTCCTCGGTGAGGTCAAGCTGAATGCTGAGCTGTCTGAACATAGCGGCGTACTCCTTGGTTGACTTAGTCTGTTGCAGTTATGCGAGATCTCTTTCAGCTTGTCGCTTTTCATTAGGGTCCTGGAAGAGAGATTGTAGGGCATCTTTGAATCCCTGAAAACTGCTGTAGATATCTTAGGTCTCAGTGGAGCACTCATCCAGGGTTTCGTACTTAAGGAATTCTTCCTGGATGGGTTCAAACTATTTGAGGGCTTATCCTTATAGGTAAGTGGCGGTATGGACGACTTTCTCGGTTTGACTAGTGAAGTCTCTATAGTGGAAGTTTTGGTAGTTCTTAACTTAGATCAGGAATGACTTAAGTTGTCCAGGGGTGCCGTCGTAGGTGATAGGGGCACTAAGCTTAAGTTTCTGTCGTCCCCCAGTAGGGGTAGTGATGATGTTGGCAGCAGCCTGAAGGGTGTTAACTTCGTTTTGTAGTTCTTATATGAGAGGGTTGCTGCCTTATCCTCCTAGGAGAGCAATTCCGTTTTCAAGGTCCATAAGTCTCTGAGGTCTATTACTAAGCTCCTGGATCATCTGTTTGAGGCCTTAGAGTTTGTTAGCGGTTTCGTTATATATAACCTAGACCTTAGCGATGTCGTCGTCTCCTTTCTTAACTCAGGCTCGAAGCTTGTCGTAGGTTTCCTTCTTGAGAGTGACTTCGTCGTCTGAGTCCACTGCCATCGGAGCTCCCTCGAGTTCTTCAGCCAGGCTCTTGACAGGCTGTTTGGAGGAAGAGGAGCTTCCCGGAGTGGGTGACTTGGCAGAGGTGCGTGAAGACATTCTTGTCTGTACTGTTAGTAGGTTTCAATAGTCAACTTACTGAACAGGAGCAATCAAAGTGTTACGGTCAGCTATCCGACAGTAGGGTCTGCTAACAGAAGCTGGAGATTGAGACGTAATAACAGTACACTTGGTCGTGGTCTAGGTCATAGGTCGTAGGCTAACAGTAGATCAGATCTTCAGAGGCTAAGGTGATCAGTCTTAGACTCAACAAGTAATTCGCAGTGAAGGTAAGCTGAGAGTATCCTGAGGATGAATACTAAGTTGATTGCTGAAGAGCTATGGAAGTCTGACCATAAGCCAGGCTCAGGTCATACTATATATAAATTCTGCACAGTATCTCTTGTGGTGGCTATGTAGGATATCCGTGCTATCCAACATATCCATAGATAGCTGGGATAGCGGACATATCCAACATATCCATCTTTGCCCTGTATCCGTGCTGTTCCCGAAGTCACGTGACCTGTACCATAGTTCTTCCTTTCCCGATGGTTCCTGGTTACACCTGTGTTACTGCTTACATATGTTCTGTGTTAGCCGCCGAGATGCCAGGCGGAGCTGTTCCAACGTGTCATGCCTGTCGGGTCGTAACACTACTCTTGTAAAGTCCTTTCTTCCTTCTTCAGCTTAGAATAGTCAATCGACGGCACCTCTACGTTGAACAAGCCTAGGGGCCAGCCCCTTACATTAAGTAGTTATAAATTTATAAAATTAGTTTAGAGAAGCTTTATAAAGCTTATTATAATAATTAAATAATTTATATTATAGTATAGAATAATAAGCTTTATAAGGCTTTTTATTTTTAGTAAGCTTATTAGTAGTAATAAGCTAATAGGCTTTATAATAAGGAGTATCTTTAAGAAGCCCTATAAGGCGTTTTATAATATTTAATAGAAAATACCTTATAGTTAGTAGAAACCACTTTATAATATAGTGTATAGCTTACTATTTAGTAACTTAATTCCTAGTAGCTTAAGAAGCTTTATAAGGCTTCTCTATCTCTATATAAGTTTGCTAATAAGCTGATATAGCTCTATAGTTATCCTTTATAATAAGCTTTATAAGGCTTCCTATAATAATTAAAACAGCTTATATTATAGCTTAAAATAAGAAGCCTTATAAGGCTTCTTTATATTTATATAAGTAGTAGTAGTAGTAGTAGTATACTATTAAGCTAAAGGAACCTAAGGTTTACTGAGAAGCTGCGCTAAGGGTTTTAGTTTTTATAGACTTATTAGTCTGTAGAAGGACCTGCTAAGTGTTACAGTCAGCTATCCAATAGTAGGGTCTGCTAACAGAAGCTAGGGATTAATACACTATAACAGTATACTGGGTTTATAGTCTTGTTCGTAGGTTATAAGCTATAGTAGATCAGGTCTTTAGAAGCTAAGGTGATCAGTCTTACACTTAATAAGTGATTTACAGTAAAAGTAAGCTAAGAGTATCTATAAGGATAAATACTAAGTTAATTACTAAAGAGCTATAGAAGTCTGACTATAAAATAGGTTTAAGATTATACTATATGTTAGTTCTAAATAGTACCCTCCTATCTCTAATATTATTCCTAGTCTTAATAAAGTCTATTCTTACTAAGTATAACCTCTATATTCTTAGTATATAGATCTAATCTCTTATCTTATTATTATATAACTTATATTATAGTTCTTCCGTTCTAAGTAAGTCCCTGTTATTCCTATGATCCTGCAGTATAAATATCCTGTCCTAGCTGCCTGATGACCTGGTGGGTCACGTAGCTGTTATCCTTATTTATAGGTTGTAACACCGCAAAGGTGAGTCTTATGCATACTCTTAAACTTACACTCTTAAACTTATTCACGCATTAATAAGAAGCTTTTTTACGCCTTAGCTTGCGTAGTCTACTGAATTCCAGTCGATGCAGCTCACGAGGATGCAGTCTCACTAGGAAGGGAATAGCTTCCAGCTAGGTATCCAGCGATGCTTATTAGGTCTAAGTAGTGTGGAGCTCAGCTACTAGCCTGAAGCCTGAATGTGGGCCTACATGCCGTCCTGGTACTTACGTCGCGGATCGGCCACTCCACTTTGTCCCAGGCTCGCGCGGGCCTATACTCCACTCCTCTTGCCAATCGCTTTTCGCAACATTTTAGTCTCTCATAGTTTTCAATTGCGCGAAGTTGCTAACTGCAAATATGCAAAGTCGTCAATAGGTTTGTTGACTATTATCTATATGTAGTGGGTTATAATATCTATCCCCCTACTTTATGCTAAGGTACTTATATTTTGTTTCTTCCCTTCTAACTTTTCTTTTTCGCAGTTTGCCGCCTGGAGGCGCACCTTGTTGATAGCACTTATATTTTCTCTCAGCACGCAAAGCTTAAATACTAGGATAGCACGACAGACTAGAGTGCCTAGCAGGAATCAAGCAATCACTGGCACTATGTCACCCAGGCTGATGAATATCTGACTGGATAAAGCCATAGTACCAAAAATAAACACCATAAGCGAGGCCACTTCGGTCACATAATGACCACAGTAGAAAGCAGCCCTACTTTTCTCTTTTTCAGGATCAGCGGCTGTCCATGCGCATAGGGCGAAAACTCGCTTCTAAAAGTCTGAATCCAATCTATTTGGTCAGAATCCGAAGTTGACGTATACTGCAGTCTCAAGCCCTAGAATCCAAATCTATATGCAGGGACCAGAAGTATGATCCAGAGAAAAGCTGGATAAGTTTGCGATACGTGCCCGCTCTCTATGGCGATCGATGAGATGCAGATGGACCAGCATGCCAGCTGGTATACTTGATGGAACATATTAGCCATAGCACCAGTCGCAATAAGATACTCTGTTATCGATATGACTCTCTAGAGCTGACCATCTTCAGAGAGAACGCCTGAGCGAACAGGCATATGTACGGAGCGGACAAGAGTTTCGTTAGGATCGTCTATCGACCCGCCTATGCTTACGGATGGCATCGCAAGACCGAGTAATAAAGCCTGAAGCAGACGACGTATAGCTAGCACGCTAACCTCAGAGATTTTTGGGCTGAGTTGTTGCAGCATAGTTAGTAAAAGGCCTAAGATGACAGCAGTGATACCCATCTCAGTCTTGTGAAACTCTTTTATTTCTTTGAGGATGCAGTTGGCGAAATAGAATGCTAGCGATCTTTCCTTGTTGGATGGATCCTGGTACGCATCGCGTTTATCTTGGCAACTTGCGGCAATAATGTCTTTCAGCATGCCTTCCCATGCGGGGAAGAAATTTCGGAATTGACTTGTCGTTCATGCCATGGCTGGGGCTGACATCGACAAGAAGAGAATAGTCACTGCCAAGTGATGAAGTCGAATTGCAGGCGCTATCGCGTTGCTCTGGTGCCTCTGATGGATTTGGGTGTCTATATTTTGGAAAACAGCAGTGGAAAAGTAGGAAAAAATGAGAAGGCTAGCCTTTTATCAACAAGCCCTGGAAAGGGGCTGCGTCTTTGCGAGCAGGCTACGATGCAGTGTAGCAAACTATTATCTGACATGCATATATTGATATTGATTGGTACACGTAGCCGTCCTGCGCCACAGTTGCCCCCTATTGACCTACATCCAAGTGAGGAGGTAAGTTGAAGGCACACGGCGGTAACACAGTGGCTTTGACTTCGCACGAGATAGTTCATGTGGTTTCCCTGTCGGTCATATCAACAGTTCACGTTGTCATGAATTTGCAAGTAGCATCTCCATATGAAGAACTGGGGTTACCAAGCAGACCCATTTACCGAGACTCCTCATAGTACGACAGGCAGCCTGATCGTTTATCAGTGAAAACGTGCCAAGATGCCAGCCTGATATGCAGACTGCAACCCAAGACAATCAGACCCGCCTGTCTGCATGAGCCAGTCAGCGCGCAATTCTCTGCACAGTATTTCACTCATGAGTCATCCAGACCACGGGTTTCTAGAGCGCATCATAACACCCATTCTTCCTCCCTCGCTTCAAGGGCCCTACTCGTCTCCCCAAATTCCCTTATTTTGCTTCCATCTTCTCATTCTTAATATGTTTAGCAACAACGGTGGAGCCATATCGCACGTTCAGGCAGTCTCATCCACTCATGGTCGACCCCCTGTTAATTGCTGCAAGCATCGCAGGGCTCACGACCCTGGCGGATGTGGTCTTCGTTCGTTTGGTCAAGTTTAGGCGGACAGTCAAGTGTTACGACCCGTTGGGCATACTTAGCAGAAAAGCTCCACCAGGACAGAT